ATATACATATATATACATATACATATATATACATATATATACATATATATACATATATATAAATATATATACATATATATATATATATATATATATATGTCATTTACTTAAAGCAATTACCATAATTTATTTTTTAACCTAAGGAGTGTTCCTATTGTAAAATTTAAATGAAATTAAAAGAGTCTCTTTCTACTATTCATAATTTCTTATTATTTATAATCTCTCTAATTTCGTTTTTCTTTTTTTTTTCTTACCCACAATCCCCGCCCGTATACCCTACTATTATTAGCTCTCCCCACCACTTGTGTAACTTACTGGCTAGTTTTCAAAAGCTTAAAAAATGATATTTCTGGGTGAATATAGTTGACCTAGAAAATGAGGTCTTCTAGGTTATTACATAATATACATAAACCTAAAAACGTTAAATCAATTTAATAAACATAAAAAAATATTCCTTACGTCAAAAATCTATTCAGTTCGTTTCATTTTATTCTATCTTTTTTTCATTATTTTATTTCATCTTCAACAATTAAGAGAAGGAGGAAAAGAAGAAAAAGATATAAAGGAATAACTTATGAATATTTAAAGTTTTTAATATGAGATTGTAAATAACAAGAAGAGGGTTGCAAATAATAATCTCCAATTTAAATGGGGCATCGTGATAGATTAGTTAATCGTCAAGTTAAATGAATCAAACCCCCAAATTAGACTTAAAATTTCCTAAAATAACCAAAAACAGAAAACATAAAAAATATTTGTATTATATTTTTTTATTGTAAAAGTTTGAGATGAGTTATATAAGTTTTATAGTATTATACTCAATAAATTAATTGTGTTACACTTGATTATAGAATCAAATGAAATTGTGTTGCACAAATTATATGTTTTGAGCCTTAATGAGAGTTATGTATGTCATTTAATGTAATAAAATTTAAAAATACATTAAATTAAATTATAAAAATCTCTAAAATAAATAAAAGTGAAACAAATAATAAATAAAATATTTATATGATATCTTCTTTTGATAGTGAGATTGAGGTGAGTTGAACTCATAACTCAAATGTGTTATATTTAATAGTAGAATCAACAAATGGTTTTCCAATTTAGTATACCCATAGTCCATTTACGACACCATAAAGTTTGTGAAGCTCACATCAAATCTTTCATTTTTTTGAATTGATTTTGATATTTTTTTAAGTTGATTGTGCAATGCAGTTCATTATGATAGCACATCATAAAGTTTGTCCAACTTACATCCGGTTTGTTTGAGCAAAATAATCGAACCCCCGGACGTGGAACCGCACGGTTCAGAAACGGTCGGTCGGGTGCGTGGGATGAATAAGACACAGCTATTTCTGATGACGTGTTATTATACTATAGGCAGAACAGGCGGGTCCACGGTTGTGGTTCATGGCAATGGTGGGAGGATAGATAGAATGAGATGGTGAAAAGGACAGGCGGGTCACGGACGGCAGGGGCGATGGCAGGCGGGTCCACTCTTTTCGCACGAGTCAAAAGATTCGGTACTCCCGACATAAAATAAAATAAAATTCGATTTTTTTATTTATAAAAATATTTAAAATAATGATAAATTTTCGAAAAAATATTTTTCAAAAATTTTGTGCATTGAGCCCTACTTGAATTTTTTTTAAATAATACTCTTAGTCATATGAAAAGATCATTTTATATATTTTTTATTATATTAATTATTATATGACGTCGCGCAAGAGTTAATCATTGCATGTAACCCTACTCCATCATATGGTATTTCCCCCTTTACTTGTAGCCATGAGCAATACTCGTTTACTTCTTTATAATCCATACGTGGAGGCTAGCTACCCTGTTCATTGTGTATATGGCCATCCATTTTCATTATGCATGGCATGAGATCGCTCTTATTAATTTTGAGCGAGTTATACACTATCGAGTTCAAGTGAAAATAATGATAAATGAGATAGGTTGGGTAAAAAAGATAATCGAAATGAAGGGTAGAATGATAATTAAAAAAGTATTATTTCAAAAATTTTAAAGTAGTAGTACTTTACAAAAATCTATGAAAAATATTAAAAATTAAAATTTTAAAAAAGAATTCACCGTATAAAATATTATATTTTTGTATTGTAATTTTTCACAAAACAAAATGAGAACATGCGCAGCTAAAGTAGAGATTACTTTGGGCAGTGGGGTAGAGCCACTAAGTCACGTGATCTGACAATGCTCTGTCTTGAAGTCCTATAAAGTTGCCTTTTGTGAGGTTTGGTGGATGGCCTTACTATGATGAATGTGGCAGAAGGAAGCAGATCCGATGGATCTGACAAATTTCTTTTCTTGGACCAGCTTTAAAAAGATTAGCCTTTGATTCTTTTGTCGGAATATTAAGATGATGCAGGCTACCATTTACATCCATAACACTCTCTATCTTCTTGGTCGAGCTTGTGTTACTAGGACTAGATCCGATAGCAATATCTCGTTAATGGTGGAGGAATTGATGCCCACTTAGTTGTCAATTAAGATAGTTACATATCATTATCTCGTTAGTACCTACCTACCAAATATTCTTCTCCTATTTGTTCGAGTCAGATAAATATATAGTAACATCAAAATATGTAATATTTTTAGTATTATCATATAAATTACAAAAATATCAATGCAAATTAGAGCTAAAAAATTATTACAACTGACTAAGATTAACTATAGATATAGATCTGTCTATGTCTAGGGATATATATATATATATATATATAGCAAAATCAACCCACAAAACCCCCATAATCAATTATTTTTTTGAATTTACTAATTAGCTCCCTTAAAATGGCAAAAAGATAATATTTATCATCCTCTAACATGGTATTATTATAAGTTTTAATTGTGATTCTACCCAAACTAAATTACAAAATCTTCCGAGTTATTCAAACATAGAATAACCAATGAAATCTTATTCATAGCATATTTACTTGTTATCTTTTAAATAATTGATGTAAGTTGGATAAACTTTACGATGAACTGTATTGCACAATCAACTTCAAAAAAAAAATCAAAATCAATTCAAAAAAATTGAAAGATTGATGTGAGCTCCACAATCTTTACGGTGTCACCGTCGCCCCTCAGCCGCACCGTTGTCGCGCTTGACTCGACCTCACCGCAACCCCCGTCCGTTCCTACTCCCCATATAAGTACTTCGGCTGCCTGTAATAGAAATCCCGTTCCAATCTCACGGCCGCAGAAGCGAAAAAATGGCCCTTCCCCCTTCCTCCTTCTTCCTCCTCCTCTTCCTCTCCGTCGGCTCGTCTCTTCTTTCATCTGCCGCCAAGGTATCACCTCTTTCTCTCTCTGTTGGGTGAGTATCGGTTTATCATCTCCATTTCGATTCTGTTGCAGCTGGGGGAGGGGTGCTCGGCCAACCAGGACTGCGACGCCGGACTACGCTGCGACGGCTGCGATGGCGACCTTGGAGTTTGCGTGAGAATCCGGCCGTACGAACCGAGATCCAAGGTCCGCATTCGTCACTACCCGTTTTCGATCCGTAATTTGGGGCTTTGGGTGGGATGGTTTCGTTTCCGGGCTAATTTGGGACTGGAATGTGCGCAGGGGAAGGATCTGCCATTCAACAAGTACTCGTGGCTGACGACGCACAACTCCTTCGCCGATGCGGGGGCGCATTCCGCCACCGGCGCTACCCTTATCACCTTCACCAACCAGCATGACAACATCACTTCCCAGCTTAATGTACGCTTCCTCGCTCTCTCGCATGTTCACTTTTGCTATCGAATTCTTTCCCCGGCGAGGCTTGTACGCCTCCCCGGACCTGTCGGGATCGTACACAATCCGCGGCCCTAGAAAGCCTCTCAAAACGTGCATAGTCGGCGTGAGTCCGAACTAGTTTGCCCCTTGAGACCCGCGGTCCCGCGCTCGTAGGACGGAACAGCGTCAAAGCTTATTCGGGTCTCATCATGGGCCAAGAGCGGGCTGGGGTGGTTCCAATAGTCCATCTTTCGTGAGAAAAATTGGGACGAGAAGCGCTTCTCGTGGCGCGAAGCCTAAAGTTTCGAACAAAGTTGGAAGGTGAAGAGAAGAAAAGAAGGTCGACACGTTTCTCAGCGATTACCACTCGCCCACCTGCCCCGTCATTGGAGGCAATGATCACGGGACCCACTTGGTGGTGACCGTAGGAAACGTATTCCTGAGAAAGGAAGCGTGGGCTGCTTTAGAAGCGAAGAAGTCGGTCCAACTCGTTCCAACCTCTAGAAAAAGAGAGATTATTCTTTCTTTTCTTTTTTTTTTGCTTTAAATCGTCGCATTGTTTTAATTATTCCAGCTTTCGCCAACCACTTTTGTTAATCCCAATCCCCGTGTGGACCTGATCGGAGAAGATGCGCTGATGCTGGGGTGATGATACGTTTAGTTTTTATCTATTAAGATGGAGAGTTGGTAGAACGCGGACTCAAAAAGTTCCTGGACGAAGTCTGATGAGTCAAATCGATCAGAAGAGTTTGTTAATATCAAATTGTGACATGCATAATGTTTGGCTACGCAATCAAGAAGTAACACATGGTACATGGAAAGGAAAACAAGTTTTTTGTTATTCCTAATCTGTAATATGCTTATATAAAATTTGCTTCAAATATTTATCATATTAGTTAAACTTTTATCATTTGTATATTTTGAAAACCATAAACAAAGTTGTTAATTAGCTTGTTAAAATGGCAAAAAATAGATTATTTGATTTTTTTTAGGTTAGCCTATCGATTGATTTCAAAATACTAGGTTGTTAATTATTTCTTTCGTTAATGATTTAATATTTCATTTCTATAAAAATGTATATGATATTTATTTTTTATTCATCTGGTGTTTCTTTTTTCTTTTTTGTTTGTTTTTCTATGCATGGTGAAGTTTTTAAACCCTGGTTTAGTTGCATGTGTCACTAGTAAAGTCAATTCTTCTGCATTAGAAATAAAACACTTGAATATCCCTTTAATTTCTTTTTGAGATTGATAAGATCCAATTGTCTGTACACAATTTGGATGCAATTAGCCTAAGAGGCTCTTGTCATTCTAATGGGCCACCTAATATAGATGCAAATTATTTGTTTAGATGCGAGAGTGCCACCAACTTTAGACAAATTAAACAAAATTAATGATTGTTTAGGGGGCTTACAAGTTGTTGTTTCTAAGATCTTATTCCTTTCCCAAAGCACAAAGATGCTAATGATGCCACTTGAATTTTAAAATCAATCGTTGACTCATCTGATAAGTTGGTAGAATAGATAATTGGAATTCTGTGCCAACTTTCTGCTCCGGTCTTGTTTTAAGCCATTACAACTCAGATTCCTTTGCTCTCTGAAATCATACTCATCCACACACACAGATAAGATAGTTTTTTCTGTTTACTCTTTTTTAATCCACAAATATATTTCATTGTGCAGCCCTAAAAATCACCTGGGTCCAATGTATTTGCAGAATCTTTTGTTAATTACAACCAGAATAGAAGAAATTATGAAGGCAGCTGTCGTCTTGCTATATCATTTTTATTTGGAGATATATAATATGTATCATGAATCACCCATGGTTAATATATGCACATTCATGAGAACAGTATTTTTGATATTTTTACAGAATGGTGTTAGGGGTTTGATGCTGGATATGTATGACTTCAGAAATGACGTCTGGCTTTGCCACTCTACCGGTGGCCAATGTTATAACTTCACCGCATTTGTAAGCTTCTATATAGAGCTGATTCTCCTTAAGATCCCCCGACTGACTACTAATCCTGAATAGCTGTTTATCAGCAACCTGCCATCAATGTTCTCAAAGAAATTGAGACTTTCCTAGCAGCAAACCCTTCAGAGGTCATAACCATATTCATTGAAGATTATGTCAAATCCCCCAGTGGTCTCAGCAAGGTGTTCAATGCTTCAGGTCTCATGAAGTATTGGTTTCCGGTGGACCAGATGCCTAAGAATGGCAGTGACTGGCCTTTGCTAAGTAAAATGATCGACCAGAATCATCGTCTTCTGGTCTTCACATCTGTAGCTTCTAAGGAGGCTTCTGAGGGCATCGCCTATGAGTGGAACTATGTAGTTGAAAATCAATGTAAGAAGAGATTGCGATCCAACTTCTAGTATTGAGTGGTCATACACACATCAGATTATGCATTAATATTTCTCAATGTGTATTATGAGTTGCAGATGGAGATGAAGGAATGACTCCAGGTTCATGCCCCAGTCGAGCAGAGTCATCACCCATGAGCACCACATTGAAATCTCTTGTACTGATGAACTATTTCCGAACAAATCCTAGTGCGTCTTCTGCATGCCATAATAATTCGGCTCCTCTTCTTGGCATGCTTAAAACTTGTCATGGTTTGTCAGCCAACCGGTGGGCCAACTTCATAGCTGTTGATTTCTACATGGTAGTGTATATATTCTATTTTTCTGTGTTTTCGGTTTCCGCTGAACAGGGCACTCACTTTTGATTTGAAATTAACTTGCTTCATTCATGATGCAGAAAGGTGATGCGCCTGAGGCTGCAGATGTAGCAAATGGACACATGGTTTGTGGCTGTGATAATATTGCCTATTGCAAGGTGAGAAGAACTTCCTATTGGATAAGTAGTCAAAGAAAAATATGTTCACATGGAACTGGAACTCATGATGAAATCAATACATATCATGACATTATCAAGTAGCATGTAGTTTTTCATTTTTGATTTAGGCTTCTGGGAAGGTTTGATGCAGAAAAATATGACGGGCGCACAAGGGATCATACACCAATACATATAGCATAGGTTAACTTAGTTACTACATGAACCTAGATCTGTTCTCATTTAATTCCAAATTTCCAATTACAATAGACCCTGATTATTTAATACTTTCAGGTAAATAATAAACAACCACGTATATCTATGACTTTGTGTAAACGTCTCTAAGGATGAAAAACCATTTAGCATGGCTGGTCAAATCATGCTAGATAGTATGGTAAATATGAATTGTGGATGGTTTTCAAACTTGCATTAGCATTTGAATAGATTAATACAATAAAAACATGAGGGTATAAATTCCCATGTGAATTGTAAGCATGATTTAACTAGTAATATGCTAATTAACTTAGATGCATGACCATGGTATTAAGTAAATTTAAAAGCCAGTTAGCAAGTACACCTATGACCTAACAACTATAAGTTTATCTATCTCCTGAATGAGGTCAATCCCTCCAGTGTTGTGTTGATTACAAGATTAGAGATTATTTTTGGATCAAAATTCATAACTTATTACCTAGATTTTCCCAACAATTGAATGAAGGCCAAGAGCATGCTTTGTGAAATGAGTTTCTGTTCAATGGCATTTTGAGAACCTTGTGCGATTATATGACCATTTTGGCAGGAAAATTTTAGAAGATATAGGTTTGTGCTAGAACTAGAAAACATTAAGGTACCAGTTTGGCAACCTTTTATCATTTTTTGTGCACTTCTTTGTGTCATTCACTTTAATAACAGTAACAAAATCATAAATTTTAATTATTTGAGATTGACTATATAGATCTTTTGTTGTAATTAAGACATGTAAAGAGCCATATATGTTTGGTTAAATTTAAAATATTTAAATTTTTATTTATAATTTCTGTTAAAATCTTTTTAAATCTTCCTCTATCTTTCCTCTTCCTAATAATATTAATTATTATTATTTTTAACTATCATATCTATAGGTCTCTTAAGCATATGTGTATATCATCTTAAATGATTCTTTTTTATTTTATCCTTTATCTAGATGATACCTAATTGTTCATGAATAAAAATATTTTTTTTTCTATTTTTTAGTAATTTCACACATTTATATGAATATTTTTATCTTAATAACATAAACTATATATATATATATATATATATATATATATATATATATATATATATTATAGTGTTTTGGTAACTATACTATACGGTTGCAAAATTTAGAGATGCTTGACATTGGGATACATTCGGTAAATGTAAATAAACTCTAACAGATCCTAAACATTATGACACATTAGGGCTAATTTATATTTGAACATGTTAATGGGCTCTACAGGCTAATGCCACCTTTGGCACTTGTGCTCTGCCACGAAGGTCGTCACCTCCAAAGTCGTCACCAACAGCATCCACTTCAGCTGAGACATCCAATGCCTCTTCCGCTGGAAGATTCTCTATGTTGCTTAAGGTGGTTCCAATCACTATAATCGTGCTACTGGAGCTCATTTTATTTTGACCAGTTTGCAGTATGGGCTGCGTCGAGTTGTATGAACTAGAAGCCGATTCTTTGGTGTCGAGATTTGTTCTGTTCGCCATATTTTGTTCTTCTGTTTGCCTCTGAGTGTTCTTCCACGGGTCTTTATATTAATTGGTAGAGGATTTGTTTGGAACAAGATTGGAAGGCTTTTATAAGCTATTTATTTGCTTAGGTTCGGGATAATTAATGGTAATTCATCACGTATATATAAAGAAACAAAATTCTCCAGGATGGTTATTACTGGTGTTGAGCTGCATCAAAAATAATGTTTTTAATTAGGAAAATTATTTTGATCGTAATTTTAAGCTGTATTTTGTTAACATAAAATTCATAATCATGTTATCTGTAATGAAAACTGTTATGGTACGATTGAAATCAAATAAAATTAGATCTAACAATATTACGATACGTATTTGTTATTATTGTTTAAAAAAATAAATTTTATTTGATCTTTAGGTGCTTTAACGTCTGATTAGAGAGATCGAGAGAAAAAATTTATCTCTCAATTGTATTGAGATGTCTCTTCTTAACTTTTAGAGATTTTGTTTCTTTATATGCGAGGGCAAAGGATCTAAGATAAATTATTATGAGAGTTTTTTTCTATCTCCTAAGGAATTTTATTTTAATATTAATTTTTTATTAATCAACAATCATAGAATTTAATTATATTTATAATATATATTATCTAATTAAATAGGATCACATAATTGATTTGTTCGTCTTCAACGGATTCAATAAAAGCCGCTCGGGCACACATAATTGGCTGCCTCAGGTCGCTTTCACTCGTCCTCCCGAGTCAGCTCGAGTTGGACTCCATCCTCGAGACGCGCGCCAAAAAGGTTCGAAAATGCGGAACACGTAATGAGGTGAGACTCTCGTTGGCGCCAAAATTTTCCCATGACGATCCTTCTTCGAGAAGATGCCCATGGAGCCCTAATTCAAAATTTTCGGCCCACGGTAATAGTTTAAATCCGCAGCGCGTCGCTCGTCTCTGCTAGCGGTCGCATTCATCGCCCCCTTTCTCCCCCCTTCCATTTGTTCGACGAAAGTCCGCGCAGAAGGATCCGGGATGTACGTAGTGAAGCGGGACGGACGGCCCGAGGCCGTCCACTTCGACAAGATCACGGCGCGGCTTAAGAAGCTGAGTTACGGGCTCACCCAGGAGCACTGCGACCCGGTGCTCGTCGCCCAGAAGGTGTGTGCCGGCGTCTATAAGGGCGTCACCACCAGCCAGCTCGATGAGCTCGCCGCCGAGACCGCCGCCGCCATGACCGCCAATCACCCCGACTATGCCTCGGTATGCCCCGCCTTCGTCTTCTTTGATGCCCCATCTTTTCCCTTTGTTTTGGTTGGCGAGATTCATTTTTCTCTGTGGTTTTCTTATAGCTCGCTGCGAGGATCGTGGTCTCTAATTTGCATAAGAACACAAAGAAGTCCTTCTCCGAAACGTAAGTGAGTTTTGCTCTTTAGATTGTTTAGTTTCGGTTTTTGCTGTTCGTTACTAGCGACTTCTAAGGTTCCCGATTGGTGATGGATATGAATTCAGGATAAAGCTAATGTATCATCATTTCAATGAGAGATCTGGACAGGAGGCTCCGTTGATTGCTGATGATGTTTATGAGATAATCATGAAGGTAATTATTCGGTACCTTGGCGTGAGATGACACTATATATTTGCTTTGTCGGACTTAATTTTGTATTACTTGTGAAAATATTTTCTTAGCATATATTTGATGCATACACACAGTTCCTATATAAAATAGCTAATGCGACTACTAGGGGTAACAAACCATGCGGCTAAAACAATATACGTTATTCTATTATTATTATCTGGTCCTTTAAAAAAAAAAGGCATGGCTTTGATCTGATTGTAGTTCAAAATTTCCTACTTGGATTATTGTCTATTGTGAAGATGCAAGGTTGTATAAAAAATCCTCCAATTAAATCATTTCAGAATGCTGCTCGCTTGGACAGTGAGATAATTTATGATCGAGATTTTGACTATGACTACTTTGGATTTAAAACTCTGGAGAGGTCATATCTCTTGAAAGTATCTGGCATGGTAGTTGAGAGGCCACAACACATGCTGATGAGAGTAGCTGTTGGAATCCACAAAGATGACATCAAGTCTGTTATCAGAACTTACCATCTGATGTCTCAACGGTGGTTCACTCATGCTTCTCCCACCTTGTTTAATGCAGGCACCCCTAGGCCGCAGGTACCTGATACTAGGCTTGTTCTGTTCTTTTGCAAATTGCAATAGTTTATTCTTTTGTTTGCTTATATAGTTGATGTGTTTTGGCAGTTAAGTAGCTGTTTCTTGATATGCATGAAAGAAGATAGCATTGAGGGGATATATGATACGCTTAAGGAGTGTGCTATAATAAGCAAGTCAGCTGGAGGAATTGGTGTTTCTGTTCACAACATCCGAGCAACAGGCAGTTATATCCGTGGGACAAATGGAACATCTAATGGTATTGTTCCAATGCTAAGGGTGTTCAATGATACTGCTCGTTATGTTGATCAAGGAGGAGGCAAGAGAAAGGGTAATTTGGTTATGATTTTGGTTACTGTTATTTTCAGGTGATAATGTCCAATGTTTGAAATGCTGATCTTTGTTTAATACCTATTAGGTGCATTTGCCGTATATTTGGAACCTTGGCATGCTGATATGTATGAGTTCCTTGAGCTTAGAAAGAACCATGGAAAGGTAATTTTTTTCACTTGCTTAATGTTTTGATCACCTTTTGCATCTGCTTTCCTCTTTTATGTCATGTGATTTTTTTTATCTATTTCTGACAAACAATTCAAATTGATTGCTTGTTGAGAAACACTCAGAGCTTCTCCAATGTGAGATGATGACAATTTAGAATGACAGTTTGATTAATGATAGCTTTCCCAAGAAGACTTCGTCTGATAACATTTAGAATGACAGTTTGATCAATGCTAGCTTTTCCAAGAATATTTCATCTACATTCATGTTTATCTATGGAATAAATTAGTGCATAAATATCATGTGTGCTTTCATTTTTCTTTTTTAATCTCATAGAAAATTTAAAATGGTGCTAGTAGTGTATAGAATTCTTTTCTTTTCTTTTTTAAAAAAGTTGCAAAATGTTGCAAAATTGGGTGGAAAACATGTCTTTCATCCATGTTATATTGTTGTTTAGAGTTTTTAGTTTCTTGGCAGCATTATTTCAAGGTCTTAAACCTTGGGCAAAAAACAGTTGCATCCTTAGTTTGTATTTGATGTAACAAGATTCTTTTTTGGTGGTTTCACTTTGTATGGAAGATTCAGTATATTTGGTTGGCAAGATGCATTCTTTTACTTCGATATATGTGAGTGATTAGAGATCATGATTGTGAATTGAAGGTTACATAGCGGTTGTGCTCCTAATGGAAAAAGAGGATGACCATGGGTAATTTATTATATTCTCCAGCAATATGCTTTCATCCTCCAGATTGAATCTTGCTTCATCCTACTGTGATGAAAACATGTCCATCAGATTTCAGTAGTTAGATAAAGCTCAGACACTTGGAGTGATTTTCTGGAATGTATGTTTTCTTTTATGTAATTGTAAGTTCTTTTATTTTGCAGGAAGAGCATAGAGCTAGGGACCTGTTTTATGCCCTTTGGATTCCTGATCTCTTTATGGAAAGAGTTCAGAGTAATGGACAATGGTCATTGTTTTGCCCTAATGAAGCTCCGGGACTTGCTGATTGTTGGGGTGATGAATTTGAGAAACTCTACCTAAAATATGAGGATGAGGTAAGTCTGGCCTGCAAATAACAAATGCTTAAACAAGTTTTTAATTAATATTTGTAGTCATTCTCTTCCATTCATGTACTTTAGGGCAAGGCCAAGAAGGTTGTTGCAGCACAGAACCTTTGGTTTGAGATCCTTAAATCTCAGATTGAGACTGGAACACCGTATATGCTCTTCAAGGTATTAACTGTAATTATCATGCCCTTCAGAAATTTCTGAAGTCATGCTGATGACACCGTTACATGTATTCAGGATACTTGCAATAGGAAAAGTAATCAACAGAATCTTGGTACCATTAAGTCTTCAAACCTATGCACTGAGATTATTGAATACACAAGTCCTACTGAAACAGCCGTGTGCAACCTGGCATCCATTGCTTTACCACGGTTTGTCAGGGAGAAGGTGTGTTCTCATGGATCTTTGTTTTCCCTTTTAGCAAAGGATTCCCAAGTTAGCTATCAGACCATGACATGGGGTACCATTTCTCCTTTTTTAATGGATTTGCTTTCAGGGTGTCCCACTAGAGTCACATCCATCCAGGTTGGTTGGTAGTAGTGGATCAAAGAACAGATACTTTGATTTTGACAAGCTTGGTGAGGTAGGATTTTAATTGCCTCAATTTATGAAATACATGCACATTGTTTCAGAGTATTTCTAAATTAACATATATTCTTTTGTTTACAGGTTACTGCAATAATAACCGAGAATCTCAACAAAATAATTGATGTGAACTACTATCCAGTTGAAACTGCAAGGAGATCAAACCTACGACATAGGCCAATAGGAATTGGTGTTCAGGGTTTGGCTGACACTTTCATTTTACTTGGCATGCCTTTTGATTCACCTGAGGTAATTGCTGAGATCAAATATGTTCTCTAGTTCCTTTATTATTTTTGATATGGACTACCATGTTAATGATTAACTCTTTCTGTAGGCTCAGCAGCTGAACAAGGATATATTTGAGACCATATATTACCATGCTCTCAAGTCTTCTTCTGAAATTGCTATTAGCAGTGGTCCTTATGAGACTTATCAAGGAAGTCCAGTAAGCAAGGTTTGGTTCTGCTTCTGTTAATCCTTGTATCTTCATTTGTGTTGAGACACCATCTTTGTATTAAAGCTTTTTCTAAATAATGGTTGTTGCCATCCGCTCAAATTGCTTTATGTGCTTTCTTGGGTGTGATCAGGGTTGATTTGTGCATGTTATTATTGCTATTACCATATTTTCATAGCAGAAACACATGTTTTCAGTATGCCTTGAATGAACTGGAATGTTAGAATGTGTAACTCTGAAGAGGAATATGTTTTTGAGCTGTGTTCGTTTCTTAGGTGCTACATTTCAGCATAAATGTTTAGTTTATGCCTGTAATAATTATTCCGCATCCTTGGAAGAATGCTGATTGTATTGTTGCTCAGGGAATTCTCCAACCTGACATGTGGAATGTTACTCTTTCTGATCGATGGGATTGGGCTGCATTAAGGGAAATGATATCAAAGAATGGTGTCAGAAACTCTCTTCTTATTGCTCCTATGCCCACTGCTTCAACTAGTCAAATTCTTGGCAACAACGAGTGTTTTGAGCCATACACATCCAACATCTACAGTCGCAGAGTTTTAAGGTATGCTTTGGACATAATATCATTTTTGAAATGAATCAATCAACCTATATGATAACACTACTTTTTTTCAGTGGGGAATTCGTTGTGGTGAATAAACATCTCCTGCATGACTTGACTGAGATGGGTCTATGGTCACCTGCTCTCAAGAACAAGATAATTTATGAGGATGGTTCTGTTCTCAAGATTCCTGAAATTCCAGATAACTTAAAAGCAATTTACAAGTGAGACAATGCAAGCAAATAACTCATTCCTATTGTCTAAGATATTTTTCCTTGATCTAATAAGTGTTTTGTGATTTTAGAACTGTTTGGGAGATTAAACAAAGGACTCTAGTTGACATGGCTGTTGATCGTGGGTGTTACATAGATCAGAGTCAGAGCCTTAATATCCACATGGACCAGCCAAATTTTGGGAAGCTAACATCGCTGCACTTCTATGCTTGGTCCAAGGTTTGATGCCTCTTTATTTTCAACTAGTAATCTTAAATATGCTTATTATCCACAATGACCTACAATGCATTTATTTCCTTGAATTGGAACACATGAGGTGTAATGCTCGTGGACCTTTTGAATGTAGGGTTTGAAAACTGGAATGTATTATTTGCGTTCTCGTGCTGCTGCGGATGCAATCAAGTTTACTGTGGACACTTCTTTGCTCCAAGTACGGTTTCTCTTTTGATTTCCTTTAGTTATATAAATCATTTGATTTCTTTGATTACTAAATTCCTATTGGTATATTTTCAAATTGGGTTTGGCTTTTCATTTGTGGAATGCAGAAAACAACTAAGCCGGTGGAGGATGATGATGTCGAAGCCAAAATGGCACAGGTTGTTTGTTCCTTGGAAAACCGTGAAGAGTGCATGGCATGTGGAAGTTAAGATGTAATATTCCAGCAGCAGATGTTTTCAGTCTCTAACTGAAACACCAGAAGCAGAAGCAGAAGCAGAAGCAGAAGCAGAAGCACCATGATGAAAAGTAAGATACTCATCTACAGCTTTGGGCTCTCCTGGTGTCACTTTAGGGTTGCTTGATGGGATCAAATGAAGGCTCATGTGTGTGTGTGTGTGTGTGTTTGTTTATTAGTGAATTTGGATGTGTTATTTGTTTAGAGCTACTATCTAATAGCTAATGTCTTGTTTGGATAGTTCTGCATAAACAAGATAGACCAACTCAGGTGCAAATGAAGGCTCATGTGTGTGTGTGTTTTAGTGAATTTGGATGTGTTATTTGTTTAGAGATACAATCTAATATCTAGTGTCTTGTTTGTATAGTTCTTCATAAACAAGATAGACTGCCTCAGGTGCATATGATGGAATGCCACTGGTCCTTTAAATAGACTTGAAATTCTAGTCCTGTATCAATATGCTAATTATTGAATCCAAAGTCTTCTTCTCAGAATGAATTTCAGTCAGAGGAAGATATACTTCAACATGCAAGGGCTTTTTCTGTATATTCTTTTGAATTTGGTAAGATGAATTTTGGTGGTCAACCTTGATATGATCAAATTGTTTTGCTCTGTTTGTTTGTTTTCCTTCTTGGTTTTTCAAGTGTTATCTTATTTGGAACTGGAAAATAAGTTTGATTAAAAAAAAAGTTTGCAAGGAATTCAGATTGCTTTATATAGTTTTTGTTTGGTTAGTATATTGTCATGTTAGGATTGATTGGATTGTGTGTGTCAATTGCGATAGGTGCTTTTAGTGTTTTTATTTTCTAGGCAGATATATCATGCAAAGGGATATTATGATTTGGTCGATTACATTAGGCACTATTGATGTTTCATTTTTTTTTTTGTTAAAGATAGATGCATAGTGAGGGACATTATGGTGTAGTCAATTGTATTAAGTGTTTTGGATGTTTTTTTTTATTATGTGTAGGGGATGTTTTGACCCGATTGATTACACTAAACATTTTTTATGTTTTACTCTTCTTCTTGATGAACACAACATGCATAAGAAAATGTTTTGGCATAATAGGTTTGGTGTATGTTGGATGAGATTAAGAGGTGATAAGAAGCTACAAGTGTGTTTGTTAAGATTCCTCTAATGATCCAATTAGTGTGTGTATTGTGGTAAAAAAATCAGGAGTTCAAATGTTGGAATCCAATTTACTTAATTCATGATTAAAATCTGTATGTAAGGATTGCTTATTTAATATTTGTTTGGTAACCAAGGCCGATTACAAAATATTAAATACATTAATGATAAATTATTCTTTTAGATGTCATGTTGTTGTAACATTCTCAATTGATGTGTTATACTCCATTATTTCATGTATTCAATCTTCATGGATTGAAAATGATTGTCATATGATAATCTATATATTTGTTTTGTTATCATTCTCATATTTGATATCCCTTAGTATCAGGAAGAAAAAAATAACACATATAAAGTTGCTACAAGATTGAATTTTCTTTTGCTGCTCACGTATTTGTTTGTCAAAAGTTTCCTTGGACAAGCTAACGTTGCTCTCAATATAGAACAAAAATCATTTACTCAAAACACTTTTCTTCATGCTCATTATTATTCTAAATAGAATGGCTTAGCTAGCCAGCCGACCCTTACCAACAAAATATCTAATGAATCATACTAAAATGATATCATGTTGCCGTAGAGAATGCCCATGTGCTATCCTACCCTACCCTACCCTACCCTATCCTACCCTACCCAACCATATGTTAATTTAATGGCATGCACACCTACCAAAGTAGTCAACTACAACTGAATCTGGTTCATTCGGAATCAATCGAAACTAACAGCACTTATGATCACTAAATTTGACTCAACACCCTAATTTAAGCTTTGCAACAGTCTTAACTAAATATGAAAACAATACTATAAAGATGAGGTATTTATAGGAATTAATATGAGGTATTTTATATAAGATATATATATTTTATAATAATGCGAGAAAGAGAATTCAGACATACAAGTTATTTTTATATGAATACAAACCTAAAACCTATGGTTTCAAGCAAAATAAAAAGGAGGGCATCAAAAGATTCTATACATGTATCATTTATTTGTGTATTTAATAAAGAAATAATAATCTATCATCCTCTAGTGGCATGATGAATATTTTATAGATTTAATTTGATAATTAAAAATATTAATGTCAAATTTGATCTTCAACTCGACGCATGAAAGTTAACTCGATTTGGATCGATTCTATCAAAGATCGTGTCTTATTTGTAGTATAGTAGATTAAGTTAGGATCCATGTGTTGAGTTTTAATTGACTAATAATATTTATGACAAGGTTCATACTTTATTTCATAATTCTAAAAGAAAAATAAATTAAAAAATATTTGCACAGCTTCCTTCCTTGTAGAACATCAACCAACCAATTATTACTTCTTTGTTGCACCAAATACTCCTCTTATATATATATATATCATGGATTACGTACTCGACTCCATCAATTAATTATAGTTTCAATTATTTTATACACTAATAGAACGCAGTCTCCGCCGAACCACAGTTTGGTCGTGGCTGGAATCCGGGTTGGATTTCGCTGGCCGGTTGCGTCCGACTCCGCCGGCATCCATCCGAGGAATACTGAATAGGATGAGATGCCACGAGCGAACACGGAATCCCGAGGGCAGTCCGGTCTTTTTACTCCTCCGCCCTTCACCTATATGCTGATATCCTCCTCCCTCGGTGGGTAGGCCGTTAGGTTAAGCTTCGGTGTCGCGCTTGGGCGTCGAGATCGGTCGAGGGAGGCGCCGGGGGGGGTAGACATGGCGGACGAGAAGGAATCCACGTCGGTTCCTCTGAGCCAGGCAGCCGATCCCGAAGACCCCGCCAAAGCTCCACCCACTTCCCCCAGCTCCTCTACCCGGAAGGTGCGTTCTCCTCGGATCTGACCGCATCTGCCGTGATTTCTATTTTTCTTCCTTTTCTGCTTTTCGATCGGTCGCGGGTCGGAGTCTTTTAGCGGAAATTTCGTGTGCGGATCTCGATTTTGTCCTCCTTCGAGCCGGTGATTGTGGTTTTCTGTTTGGCTCCCGGTAGATGGATCGGACAATCGGGTGAAACACGTTACTATATGCTTACCTTGGAACGCAAGAAAATGTTTGTTCTGATGACTGTGGTTTTACCTCGGTGAAATGTTCCTTTAGGATCTTACTTTTTAAGTACGATCTTGTCGAGGAAAATGCTCTATCTAGCTTGCTGGATGAGCAATGTGTTCTGGGAACATGGGAAAAAAGGATACAAGAAGCTGTTGAGATTTAATTTGGTAGAACACTAAAAGCTTTGTGATTCAAGTGTTGCGATATTATGCAAGTTTAAAAGGTCAGAGTAACATGGAAATTTCCTCAAGTGGCAGACGTGAAGTATGTGGTAGGGCATTTAAGGCCCTCTCACTTCCTGGTTAGGAAGTTTATGATACATATATTCGTCTTGTTTAGTGTTATGTAGGGGAAGTTCATTTTGTCAAGAAAATAAATGCTTTGAATGGAGCGATGGAGAATTTCTAGAAAAGTGATCTATATCAGGCTTGATATCCATATTTCACTTCTGAATTATTTGTTGAGATCAAATTAAGTTAAGACTGTTGGGATTGGATACTCTCAGATGCCCTATGACTAGGATATCAGAGCAAAACTCCGAACTGAAAATGAAATATATTCTCACATGAATAACAAGAATGTGCGAGCAACTTGATTGTGATTTAATTCAATGTAATTCCATGGAACTTGCCATATTTCTTCAAACATCTCCATCCACCCAAAGGTCTAATTCTTATGTCAATTGTCTATATGGGAATGGCAGCATGTTGTTTTTCCTCTGTCAAATTTCGGATTATTTTTATAAGAGATAATATCATTTTAGACATGTGAGCAGCTGTGTTAGATGGGTAAGCTGTTGGTTTCCAGGTAAGCTGTTGCTATGAAATGCATGATTATTGGTTAAGGATTCAGAACCACTGGAGTGTCAAACCAGAATAAACACTAATGAACAAATGAAGTGATCAGGGTTTTAAGGTTGGAGGTGATCAGGAAGGGCACGATGACAACTGCTAGGTCTTGAAGCCATCACCATACGATTGGTGTTACGTCAAGCTATTAATCAAGAATGAAGATCACATATTAAGAGCAGTGATTTAAAAAGTACTAAGCGCTCGTCCGAGCGAAATGAGGCTCTCTAAAATATTAAAGTATAAAAAATATAAAATATAATTAATAAATATAAATATGAAATTAAATTAAAAACAAAGATTAGCAATGTTAACATCTAAATAGTGTATTATTAATATAATAAATAAATATTATTTTGAATAGTATTTAATAATCTCTTGTTAATAGTATATTTATTGTTAACAGTAGGGAAGAGTAGAGACCGAAGAAGTCGCGGTGAGAAGCTGAGTCGTAGGCAGTAGACGACATCGGAAGTTGCGTAGTCGCGGACAACAGTAGCGGCAGCGAAGTCGTGTCGCGGACAACAGCAAGCAGTGGATAGCGGCAGCTGCAGGTAGTGGACAACGGACATCAGCGGCAACTGAGGAGATTTGATCGGTGACAGAGGAAGACTCGGAGGCAACAGGAGAAACCGTCGGCGGTAGAGGCAGAGGGAGACATCGTCAGCGACAAACGCAGAGGGAGAAATCATCGGCGGCATAAACAGAGAGAGAAGCGTGCGTAGGGTTGGGAGTCGGGGTCATGCGCTGATATCAACCGTTCTTAGCGTTAGTTGGTTCGATTGCCTTATATCAACCGGGCGCTCGTCGCCTAGGTTCGGGCGAGCGCCCAGGCGGCGCCTCATTAAAGCGTGCCGCCTGACCCTTAAACGAGGCGCTCGGGCCTCGTCTCGCCTCGCCTGAGCGCTTAGGCGAGCGCCCGAGTGCCATTTTAAATCACTGATTAAGAGGAATGGAGGAAAAAACCAGTTGTCTAACAACTCTATGGAATGGATTGGGCCTAATAGCTGAAATTTATTCTCCTCTGTTTTCCTGTTTTATTGTTAAGGTTATTATGCTTAACACTGTATGGTTCAGTTTCTTGATTTGACTGGATCATTTGCCCATGCCGAGTGCCAGCTTTATATCCAAATTTTGACTCCACTCTTAGACAATGATTTGCAAGTCCAGTGCTGGAATGTAGTATACCTAGAAGATGGTATCAGTCATATTAACAGTCATGCGACAGGATTCCCAAACCATGGTAGCCACTAAAATGATGATTGTAACTGTGAAACTTTACATTAAATATATTGGTGCTCGATTAGATCATGCAGTTAATTTGATAACATCTTAAAGCATTATGGGATCATTATCTGCAAAAACTTAGCAAATTAAATGTGGGTTAGTGGGATGGTATGCAAGCTATCCAAAGGAAAATTTCATAATTATGAAGGGACTATACT